AAAAAAAAAATATGCGCAGAGGCCAAAAGAAAGTTGGGAAACAGCGCGCACGTTGCGTGGGTTCCGGAGGGCCCAGTACTAGATTCCTTCCACGAATGGAATGTCTCAATAGGCCTAATTTAATTAAGGTTTAGGGTAGTAGGCTATTTCAGTTTCCGAGTTCCAGCTCTAAGCGTTTCTAATTCTAACAAGGCTCTTCGTTAGGCTTTTTTACTTCGTGATGAAGCGAAACCAAAACACGAGGATTGGGTCCATTGTCGTCCACCCAAAAAAATTAAAAACACAAAAATAACATACCGTACCGTAGAAGGAATCGGATCGGATCGATATTGGACACAGAATTTCGGGACCTTTTGCCCGTTCCTTCATTCCCTCTCACGTCCCACGACAACCTTTTCTGGAACAACACTGCTCCGCGACTCACCCATCGACCCATTGCGCGACGGACACAAACCCGAGCCTACACCATGGCGGAACCGACACAAGAACCACCCGCCGTGGCACCGGCGCATGCAAAGAAGAGAGAGAAACTCCTCCCCGTCACGCTGATCAGTGGCTTCCTCGGTGCCGGCAAGTCGACCCTCCTGAGGAACATCCTCGAGGCCAAGAAGGCCGACGACGAATCCTTCCGCTGCGCCGTCCTGGTCAACGACATGGCCGAGCTCAACATCGACACGAGCCTCATCGCGGCCTCGGGCCTGGTGAGGTCCGACGAGGTCGTCTCGATGCAGAACGGATGCGTCTGCTGCAACCTCAGCGGGGACCTCATCGAGCAGATCGTGGGCCTCGCCTCGAACCGGGAGACGCCCTTTGACTACCTCGTCATCGAGGCATCGGGGGTCTCGGAGCCGGCGGCCATCGCGGCCCTCTTTGAGGATTGCCACGAGGACGACGACGACGACGACCACCACCACCAGCACGGCGAGCACGAAGCCGGGGGGCCGACCAGCCTCGGGAGCGTGGCGCGGATGGACACCATTGCCACGGTCGTCGATTCCGCCGAGTTCCTCCAGAACCTGGAAGGCATGGACGATCCGGACCGGGGCGCCGACTACCCGCGGCTGCTGGTCGACCAGGTGGAGTGCTCGAACGTCGTCCTCCTCAACAAGACCGACCTGGTCAGCGAGCCCCAGCTGAGAGAGGTCCGGGACAAGGTCACCCTCCTCGCACGGGAGGGCGTCAGGGTCCTGGCCTGCCAGAACGCGGACGTCGACGTCAAACACGTTCTCGACACGGGGCTCTACCGATCGGGAGACTTTGACCTCTCGAAGTTTGTCGAGCGTTTCGCAAGCGGGAACGACGAAAAACCCAAGGCCTGCTGCAAGAAGGCCGAGGCCAGGGGGGAGTCCCCCTGCTGCAAGCGGGCCCGGACGATCGACTCGGGGAAATCCCGGGTCCTCTTGCCCTCGAAAAAGGTGGGCAAGACGCGGCACGGCGAAGACTACAAGATCACCTCCTTTGTCTACAAGGCCAGGCGTCCCTTTGCCCCGGGGAGGTTCTTCGAGCGCTTCGTCGATGCCTTTTTCGTTATGGAAGAGGATCCGGACGAAGAGGAAGACGACGGCGACGACGAGGACGACGAAGCAGGCACCGAGACCGACGTCGATCCGCCCCCGAAGAAGAAACCAAGGTCCGGGAGCGGCGATGAGGGAGCAGCGACCGGCACCGACGAAACCAACGAGGAGTCCTCTCCCCCGCCCCCGGAGGAAGCCGACGGTGCGGTCCGAGCGATGCAGGAAACCGGAGCCGCCAGGAAGGCCAAGCGGACGGAGGCCCTGGGCTCCCTCCTGCGCGCCAAGGGCTACCTGTGGCAGGCCAACTCGCACGACCTGGTCGGCTACATCAGCACCGCGGGGAACGCGGCCCGCCTCGAGACGCTGGGCCGGTGGAAGTGCCTCGAGCCGTCGTCCTATCCCCCCGCAAGGGCCCCGGAAAGTTCAAAAGCGGACCGCGGAACCTGGGTGGCCCCGTACGGCGACCGGCGGCAGGAACTCGTCTTCATCGGCCAGGACCTCAAGCACGTGGAGCTCCAGCGGCTCCTGGACGAGTACCTCTTGTCCGACGAAGAGATGGCCCTTGGCGTCGATGGGTGGAAGGCCACCTTTGGCGACATAATGCTCGATGCGTAGTGGGTAGACCCGTGGGTGGAACGGAACAACGTGGAATGGAAGTGGCTGGCGAGTTGGCGGGTGGCTTTGGTTGGGTCCGAGCGGAAGAGCCACCTGTCGTTTGTCAGCCTGCACGGCAATTGATCCTTTATTGCATTGACATTTTTAGTGGCATTGCGCTCCCATGATTTTAGCTGTTTGGAATCTATCTACGTGGTCGGAGAACAAATCACCCGGCCGAGTTGGTTGCGTTTGGTCACGGGTGCACGATGGCATTCGATTCGACCGAGAGCAATCAAAGGTTTCCAGCGTGTGCGGCAATTGATCCTTTTCTCGATGGGCGGATCCGATGGCGTTTGGGGATTGCGTTTGCACGGTGTTTGTTGTGCCTCGTTCCGTACGGCTGGTGGTGGGAACAACGAAGTCGAAGATCTTTTGTTTCGGGTCCTTCCGTTCGGTGGATAACAAATACTGTCTGTCATTATCATTGTTATTGTTATTGTTATTGCTACTGTTGTACGTAATTTTTGAAAGACCCATGCAAGAAGTCTATCGATGGATGCCGAAATTCTAGCCTCCACACAAATATACATTAGTGTGTCTTCCAGATATTTCAGTTGTGCGAGGGGTACAAGGCGATCTCTCTCGTGCAAATTCACACTTGGTGTGCGCCTTCTATCTGTTGCCGCTCCAAGGGGAGAATGGTATTGAGCTGGACTTGTCTCGAGGGACGGTTTGTTGGAAACCCTAGCCGAAACATCGTCGTTCGATGCAGTCGAAGGCGGCATCGATGTCTTCGTCTGTTTCTCTTTTCTCCCCGTAGGCATAGAGTGCCTCCATGTTGATTGCTTCGCACACAATGTCCTGGATCTGATCGCAGCCCCCGGCCTTCTTGATGTAGGTCGCAAAGGCCCACTGGCAGACGCACCAGTTCTGAATGGGGCAGGTGCTGCTGCTGTCTCCGTGGCATTCTTCGCTGTTGTTGCACCTGAAAAAGGAAAAAAACGACACAATGGGGGATGATCCGCCAATGGGTGGATTGTTCCGTGGTATGTGCGATGCGTGAGCGAGAAATGGATAAAAACAAAGTGGGAAAGAACCACCACATAGGTATTGCATTGCATGTGTTGGTGGGATTGACTCCGTGTATACGGACCAACCATCAGACGACATTACGCCACGCATTGACCACGGTACCATTGTTTGGTCGCTCCCTCGCTAGCTTACCAGTTGTCCTGCCCTGTCACCTGGCAAAAATTTCCCCCCGTAGTGCTACTGAGGTCGATGCAAATATGGTGCGATCCCTCGTCGTCCTCCTCCTCGACACAATAGCCGTCCCGCATAAATCCTGTCAGAGCCATCTGTGCATAGCAATGTGTTCACGTGTCGTGATTCGGTGAGTTTTGTTCGTTTGGTGCAACAAAGTCATGGGGGTGAGCGACGAGTGGATGGTGGAACAAACGAAAAAATCAAGCCAATTCTGAATTGAATGGGTCACCAGACGTTTTTTGTCTTCGGTTGTAGTTTCAAACCAAAATATTGCCTTTTCATTCCATCGCTTCGCAGAAAAACAAAGAAAGAAGGCCAGCGGTAACAAGGGAGAATGCACCTACCCCATTCTGAGAGCACGACGCGAGTTCGTGTCCATAAATGTTTAAGGAACCCGTAGTATACGCGATGTTCATGAACGCAACAACCGCTACGAGAGGTGACGAAAGGATCGAAACTATCATTTTAAGAGTACTTAGTTGTAGGGGAGGAGTGGAACAGTGTTGTGACAGATAGATAGTCGTTTCGTCTGTGGTACGGTACCAGGTACGCTCAAGATCTGCAAATTCGATTTTTGTTTCGCGTCAGGGTGAAAGAAAAGAGACCATCAATCGCTGTTTCTACAAGTTGTGAAGCACGCGATTACTTTACGTCGTTGTTTCTACTACTCGTCCTGTTGAGATGGCGAATACCACTACCGTACGTAACAGTACTAGGAGTACGTATCGTTCAATTCACCAGTAACTGTCCCTTTTGGGACATTAAAAACCACAGAATCACAATCGACCTGCTAATCGTACTTCCTAACTCGTAATTGCAATCCAACAACTCTCATGCACCTACTAGCACAACCTTCTTCACAACGATTTGCTTGGAGAACCTGTGCCATACGTTGGTATGTCGTGAGAATTCTGGTCATTTCGGTAGAATTAGTCACAAGAACATTGTTCACCTTACAATGTGTCCCTAACTAAAAATAAATACAGTAATGACTCAAAGACAATATTCCAAGTGCATTACATACCGTACGGTACTGTGTTCTGTGCTGTATTGCTGTGGTTGGTACGGTACTTACTGTATTTACCCTTATCATAGCCCATGCACCCCAGGCCAGTACGGTCCCGGCTAGATCGCGACAGATTTTTACGCGCATGGATAGTTACGTACCTACGATACTACGCGTTTCGTAACAATTGAAACCGGTCTCGAAAAAGAGCAACAAGTACCGGTACTACTAATAGTAATTTCAAGTTCTAAACTTCGATTTGAAGTTATGAACTTCAAAATGTCCTGGTAGAAAGTCTACAGGGTTCTACTGAGCTTGTTTTTGGATGGCATTCATGATTGAAAAGCCGGATCCATGCTGTATTATAATAACATCATTAAGTACGTTAGTAGTTTAGTTCGGTACAGCGGACTAGCACGACTAAAGTGAAGGCATAAAATGGTACGAAGTACTTCTAGTACCTTACTCCTACTCTTAGCTTCTACACCGCTTCTTGTACTCTACAAGTACACGTACGTACTACGTACCGTACGGTTCCCCCCCGCATGGCGCAGGTACGTACGAGTACATACCGTTACCATACTGTACGTTACAGTTACTTAAGTCCAAGATAGATGTTTCGACTACGTTGCTAAGAGTACGAATAAGAACGTACTGAACGGATTTTCTGTTTTGTTACTGTTTTGTACCGTACCAATCAAATGAGAAGAGAACGAGGAATGAAAGAGAAGTTCGTTCGTTCCTTCAATTTTGGGGGGGTTTTGAGATGGATTGATGTCGTTACGCTACATGATTTCAAAAATTCTTCGACCTTTTCACTAACGTAATCCTGGGCGGTATCATTGCTTGCACATGTGAGGCCGAACGAAACAACGCCCAGCACTACTTTTGAGGGGTCCAAAAACATATCGTACGCCGAAAGACAGAGGCGACGCCAATTGCATTGAATTGCAACCATAGTGATTTTGCGATAGAACGACGACAACGATAACGATAACGACAACGACAACTACAACTACAACGACACAAACATACCATACACAAAACAGTGCGGTACGCGAACAACGATGCAGGTGATGTTTCAAAAATCGGTGCAATTGCTTTCTTCTTGCGGCGTCGCAAGTGGGGGGAAAAGAATGTCGGCGATGACGAAGAGAAGAAGCGGGATTTTTTTTCGAACACCCCGAGATTGTCTCGGTCGAATGAAATCCATGACAATAAGATCGAACACGGGAACAGCATCCCAGAGAAACTTTCCGATGACCCGCATTCCCGTATCAAGGAACCAGACGAAACCACCACCACAGATTCTTCGACGACCGGCAAACTCAAACGCCAGCAGAAACCGACACCTCAAACGCACCGCGGATGGTGCCCGCCGAAGCAAGGCCACCGATGCTTCCGTCATCGTTGACAAGAGGACCCTGCGCTGGGTGGCCTTTACAACGAGCTTGCCCTTCGTTGGATTCGGCTTTATGGACAACTTCATTCTGATCATAGCCGGGGACTATATCGACGCTAGTCTGGGCGTCACCCTCGGAATCAGCACCATGTGCGCGGCCGCCATCGGGAACATTGTCTCGGACGTTGCCGGAATCGGCTGCGCGGCCTCGATCGAGAACTTTTGCGCGACGACCCTCAACCTGCCGGTTCCGGAACTGTCGCATGCCCAGAGGCAGCTCCGGTCGGTCCGTTTTGCCTCCCAGGGTGGGATGGCGATCGGGATGACCATTGGCTGTGTCCTGGGGATGGTCCCGCTCCTCTTTATCGATTCCACCAAAGCGGACAGGCTCAAGAAAAAGGCTCGCCTGGAGCGGCTCTGCCTGGATGTCGTGAACGAGGCCAAATCGCTGGTGGGAGCCGAATCTACGTGTTTGTATCTGCGCGTCGACGAAGAAACAAAAAATAGCAAAAAGAGTGCGAGCGACGGGATCCTCCCGGGGTTCAAGCCGTCGGTCGAGGGAGATTATCTGTACGCCAAGTACTACGTCGAGCCTCCGAAAGGTGAGAGCAGCGCTTCTTCCAGCGCGGGAAGAACCTCCCCTACGAAGGCCCTTATTCGCATGGTGAGCAACGGTATCCGGGCGACGCCCCATAAAGGAAGTTCCGAGGCCGGAGATGCGCCTGAGTCAAATCAACAAGCTTCGAGAGAGTCGTCGTTCCCCACCGTTCCCCACCCGGTCTCGTCCTCCCGCATCATCCCCGTCGGAAAAGGCATCATTTCTCGCGCCGTTCTGACGGGAACGACCTGGAACATTTCCGGAAATCTAATGGATGAGCCCGACTTTTACCCTCTGAGCATCGAGACCGGAACGATCGACGCGGCCGATGTGCGCTGCAACACGGCGGAGGGGGACCACCGGTTTCGGGACTGCGCCGTCGTTCCCATTCGGGACGCCAAGGGCAACGTAATTGCCGTCCTACAAGCCTTGAACAAGCAGCGATGTGCTTCTTCAACTGAAATGAACAGCAGTGCTGGAGGTGGTTTTACCGACCAGGACGTCGAAATCCTCAAGAGTCTCGCGAGCCACGTAAGCGTGACCCTCCAGAGGATATTGCTCGAGCGAGAGGGAGAAGACGACGACCTGGGCCTGAAGGACACGATCCGAATCCTGAAGGAGGGCAAGGGCACCCAGAACTCCAATACCCCGCGATGGGAGACATCGGCCACGACCACAACCAACAATAGTAGTCCGCGAAGCGAGGAACACGAGGGCAGCAGCCGCGGCAACCAGAATACCACCGCTAACACGATACCAGCCACGGGCAGGACGACGAATTCCAAGCTCTTTCCGGAACCGTGATGAGGACCAATGATGGTACCGTGCGGTTTGGGCACCGATAGGCACCTCGGCACCAACCCCTTAGAGTATCGTATCGTAGGTAATCATAAGAACATGAAGGATAGAGTATTCATCAATGCTTCTTGCTATTGATCTCTTTCTCCCTAGCCACTCTACTCAGAATAGATATGCTTTGTTTTCTGACGGACTCACTTGTGTCAGAGCATATCCACATCTTGAAAATATAATTACAACAGTGAAATGAAAGGATAGAGAAATCAATGCTTCTTGCTGCCGATCTCTTTCTCACTGATTACGCTGAACGACTCCGCATACTTCTAGAATACTTGCATCATGATCTCATGTACGTGCATCATGATGTCATGTTCGGTGCGGTGTTACTTCACAGAAGTAGACTAATGCTTCTGGCAGCCGTTGTCTTCACTGTCACATAGAGAAGACATTTTCCATAAGATTTTTCCTATCTCTTGGTTGAGCTAAAGAAGAGAAAGAAGATATGCAGTGTAACGTGATTTTATGGCTATCGCTACATTAAAAATGTGACCGGGGTGGCGGCAACGGAAGCCGGCTTAAAACGCCGCGGTCGGTCGCAATCCAGGGATAACCCTGATGATTGCGTGGTGCTTTTTCGCTGACCATATGCGCAAGAGGATTAGTTAAACTGTTACCCAATTCAATAGTTTAATCCCATCCCTCTTCGGAAGTGGCGATGACGTAGGCAGCAACATCGGCGATTTGGTCGTCGTCAAGACGCCCACCGAAGGCAGGCATGGCGTTCTTTCCGTTGGTGACCTGAGTTCGGACGGCGGCTTCGTTTCGTCCTCCGGCAAGGTACTTCTCGAGGGCTTCCTTCTCAAGAGTCTTGTCAGGCATGATGACGTTCTGTCCACCGGCGTGGCAAGCAGCGCAGTTGGCGTTGAAGACGGTTTCTCCGTTACCGACATCTCCGGCGTAGGCAGGGGCGGCAACTCCGAACGCAATAGCTCCGGCGGCGGCGGCCTGTTGGTACACGGTGTAAGGTTGCGGGGAGCAGCATAATGGGTGAGTCAGAGAACTTTTGCTTCGATGTCGATTTCATTCACAATCCATGGTAAGCACGAAAGTCGATTCCTTCGCATTGACCCGTAACCGGTAGTTAGCGTCATCAACAGAGAAGAAACAGTCTTTGATGCCGTCTTGGTAGGCGGCATCAACCATTTTGTGATGGCAAAGATTTTATCGCTCACGTGCTCTACACGATAAAATCCAAGACCATGGTGTCAACGATAATTTTTAAACAACGACACACGTATGGCACGGGCCCCACAAAAAAATTGTAAAAGCGTATCTTTAGCTTCACCGAGCCGATTTTCATCAAATTTTGATCGAACAAAACATACCTTGGCCATATCAGCCTTGTTGATGGAGAAAGCAGATGCGGAAGCAACGAGAGTAGCGAAAATGGCGAGCTTCATGGTGGAATATTGATTATTTGATTTAAATTGAATTGAATAAAGTTTATGTTCAAGTTGCCGATTTGCGAAGACGAGCGAGTGCTTGACACGAGCACCAAGCAGCCATCAATCGTCCAAAGATTTTTCGGGAAAGACCTCCTGTCAAATCAGAACGAAGTATGTGAGGTGTTGACACCTTTAAGGAACTGGCTTGCAACTTGAACGTTTTCACCGGAAGGATTTGTTCGATGGTAGTGATGATGTACGTAGAGGACTAGGGACTCACAATACGGCAATGCATGCACGCAAACGAGTCCTGAGAGAAAATCCATCTTGCGCGCACGCGGAACACCCAAAAAACCTACTCTATGCTGACTCGTACGTACTTTATGTAAACCACGTCACTGAAAGTAGAGATCCGATAAGAAACTATTCTTTTAATTTTATATGCGAAAAGTATCAACATTTGGTGTCTCAAATTCCCGTGGTCTCCTCAATCTAACGATGTTGAGCGAGGCAGGTGGTTGATTCTCCCCCTTTTCAAAGAAAGGAATTCCAATGACGGAAAATTGACGTCACGAAATTTGAATTGTGTACCAAAAAACAAAAAACAGCTTCGTTGTTTGATAGATCACGCTAGTTTCAATTCTTCTAGTCCAGATTTTCGATCCGTTGGACTAAACGATATGCAGTTCTGTACGAAATGGAAGTAATACAAGCGCCCTCCGGTACCCACGCGCACATCCCCCTTTTCGAATTCCTCCCCTAGAAAAACGTGGGTTATTTTTGGTGAAAAATAACCCACATTTTAGAATCATGGGTTATTTCATGGGAAGAATAACCCATGTTTCTAAAACATGGGTTTTTTATTTGAAAAATAACCCACGAAAGAACCCACGAATGACCCACGAATTTACAGTCATCTGGGTTGATGGAGAACCAAGGATGTTACTATGTATTTTAGTCATTAACGTTATTTAATCTCTGTTTTTAATTTTTGGAAAAAGCCTAGAAGGTTTGTGGGTTCTTTGTGGGTTATTCATGGGTTATTTTGTGGGTTATTTGTGGGTTAACCCAGGAACCCATGAACCCATGTTTTAAAACATGGGTTATTTTTTGTGAAGAACATTAACCCACATTTTAGAATCATGGGTTATTTTTTGCCACGTTTTAGAAACGTGGGTTATTTTATTTGAAAAAAAAACACAAAATCATACCCCTGATATTTGATTTCAAAGGGGGGATGCGCGCATGTTCACATCTGCCCACAACTATCAGATTTGTGTGATATTATTACATTAGTTGAATGCTGTTCATCTGGAACTTGATGAAGACCTGAAAGGTTCTGCATACATGAGATAGTGCTGTTTGGTCATCATCATCATCACCACCACCACCAGCTGCAGCAGCAGAAGATAGTAGTAGTAGCTACTAACAGAATAGGAGAGTACTAGTAGGCTAGTAGTATGAATCTTTGGCTCCTATGAAGATTATTTTCTCGCTGATTATACCATTAGTACAAGTAGTAGTAGTATCAATAGTAAGAATGTGCTAGCATTTAGTAGTACTATCAATAGTAACAAGAATGTTGTGCTAGCACCAGTAGTAAAAATTTATTGATGTTCTAGTAGTAGTACTAGTACTACTAGTAGCACTAGTGCAATGAACAACTTTGAGTTGGATCACAAAAATCCTTTGTGTTTTTAATATCCTCCTCTGCTAATACTAGAATGCATCAATTTAGAATTAATCCTCATCATTGCATGATGTTGACCCCACCACCCTAGGACTGCTGTTGGATAGCGTGGGCCACCTGTTTCTTGAGGTGACATTGAAATGCTACATTTGTAGTAGTCTCTCAATATATTCCACCACTGGGACCCCCCAACTCCCTCATACAACTAGTAGAATCCTGTTTTAAAATCCTTCTGATTCATGTGCCTATCATCATTAAGTGTCAGTTCTGGGGGGGACCAAGTTGTAGCTGTTAGAGTGAGTTGACACTTGCTTGTTAATGTTCTACATGTTTTTGTACTGTGCATCAATTTTGGGCTATCTTTTCAGCATGTAATGACTCATGGGATTGTACTACGGATACAGCAATAGCACATGTTGAAGCAAAAAGCACGTCCACACAAACTACTGTTTGGTCGCAAGACTGGTGGTGGGATTCAAAAATTCAGCACATGCCTGACTGTAATCTGAAGTACAAGCCAGTTTTTAATTCAGAGCAGTCACTACTTTTTGTCCCAATCAATTCTTCTCCCTTGTTTTTTGGTGACTTGTTTGGTTCATGAACAAGTTAAGCCCACAACTATTTTTTGTATGTTGTCCCCCCTCAACTTCAAAATTGTTATAAATTTATTTTAAAAGAAGTACACATAACTAGTATCCTGAATGTTGTGCTTCAATAATTTCAAAATTCAACATTGAAGAAACTTATTTTTTATGAACTTGTGATGATATTTGCTTCATGATTACTAATTTGTTACTGAAAATTCAATTTTGCAAATTGCACAAATAGCAATAATGAAAAAGAAGTAATAAGAATGCCACCATTACTGATGTTTCTGAATAAGAGGTTTCTATGAAGATATTGTTCCTTTGTTTAATGGTGGTCCCAAACAAAAATTATGATTCTCAAGCTTACTGATGACCCCATCTTTGTGATTATATTTGTGCCAGAACATGCCTAAATGATTGTACAGGTTTAAAATCTGGATTGATCTTATCATTTAATAATATTTCTACTACTGTGGAACTTTTCATAGTACTACATAACCCCAACAATAATGTTGACAGTAACCACCTACCAAGACTAATGACTTCCAAATTTGAGATAAATACATGTAATCAGAAATATTCTCAAATTGCTGTTCTTGAATAATAGTCGGGCTTGACAGGCCCAGAATTGCTACCTCACACTTCATAGTATACACAAGTAACTGTGAATTACTTCTTTGTGTACCTTCAAGAAATACTAGAAATCCTTCAACATAAACCCTATGCAAGGCCCCCACAATTCCATTGTTTTTGGCACTATTGATGGTGGGGTCATCAGGTAAATCCCTGAACCTATCTGCAACATAAACCTCTTTTGCCATAGTAAGCACAATGGCAGGTTCTCTCTACTTATCCAATTACAAATGAAAGAAACAAAACCATCACCATCTGAATCACTGATCTTCACCAGTATGAAGATTTTGGTGCTCTACTTCTACACAACAAATTTCATGTACATTGAAAGATTGTTGGACAAGAGCATCCCAAAACCAAAAAAGATATTGCAATCCAAAAAGTGGACGTAAAGAGGGTTGGAGCAAAGAAGGAAAAAATTGTCCAGACATCTTTGTCAGAAAATTGAATCACTACAAAATCAACCACAAACAGGCAAGGAGATTATGGAGGAGTCAATAGGAATACAGTGCCGTTGACATCAATAGCAATGATGGTATTGATAGTGAGGAGGAGTCGGATGGATGATGAAGAAGAATGACCCATTGATTTGGCATCATTTGGGAAACACCCACAGTGAATTGGAATACACACATGCCCAAGGGTCTCTTTCTCTTGTGCCTGAAGATCTTGGCCCCAGTGGTGCCAAATCTCATGCGAACCATATTGGATTCATTGAACACCAAAATAAAATTTAAACTGATGCTTGTGAGAATGCATAAAAGTAGTAGTGGCCAAAATTTATTGTAAAAGAATGGAATCTGATGCACATAAAATTGTGTCAAAACCTAAATGCATGAATCTTGTTGGACCTGTTGAGAGAACAAAACATTTAAAATTTGATTGAAACAATCCAAAATGATTCAAAAACTTGTACCATGGAATTCTAATGTACTGCAAAACCATGAACTCAAGCACACCAAAAACAGAATTAAATAAATAGAAAATTTACTTGATATTTCCTACCATGGAATCAAAAGGATAAAAATTGCACTCCAAATATAAACATGAATACTAAAAATAATTTGGCACATGACTTAATATTTCAACAGCAGCCCTCCCATAACATTTGAAATTAATTCTTGACCCTTTGTTCATCCGAGAAAATTCTGAAAAATATATTTGACAAGTGAGGTAGTAAGTCTGGCCAGCATTCTAAACCCACATTTTTATTTTCACTCACAAAATATGTTCATTCAGGGGTACAGAATAGGCGGTACATACCCTGAAAATAAACAGAAAAATTAGGGGTCAAAAAATGGTTAATGGATGCATTGCTTGCTGGTAGGAAATGGCAATTTTTCTTCTCATGCTAGTACATGCAGTAATACTGCTATTACTTTTTGAATTACTCTCCTCACATGCAGCTTCTTTTTGCTATTGCTGGTACTAGTAGTAGTAGTAGTACTGGTGGAGCAAATAGCAGCAGTATGTTTTTGTACCTATTTTTAAGATAATTTTTGAATTTTACTTGCAAGTCACAAACAACCCTGTTGGAACAGATGCCAAGAACAATCAGAGAAAAGTTATTTTCTTTCCTTTGTTGTGAGAATGACTCTCTGACCAACAAATTCTTCCACCTCAATCTTGTTTACAATCAAGAACCCATCCACCAGGGGCGAGTACTATGGTGGCTAGCTAAGAATTTTCAGTACAAGTTGGGATGTAAATTGTTGAATCATTTTTTTATATTTTCAAATCACTTGTGCACTAGATCTGGATGTACATCAGCCAGAACCAATCAATCTGATGCTACTTGATAACAATTTGGTGCTGATGCCAATGTACAAGGCCCATCTTTTCCAAGAAAATATGGTAGTTGTCAAGATTGCCAAAATATTTCCAAAACATCCAGTACACAACCAATCAAGCCAAATTGCTGGTGTTCTTGCAAAAATTTTGACCAGTTGAAAAATTAGTTGGACAGGCTGGTTTGAACACAATGTTTCCAACAATTTGTTGCACAAGGCATAAAAGCAACAATTGCCTCTGTGCAAATGAGGTTGAATGATTTGTCAGTTGTTTTCAGTTCTAAGCACTCCCACCACCATTCTGTCCCAAAAATGGTAGCGGAACAAGAACACACATTTTGGAAAGACATTTGTCTGTCCAAAAGATGGCACTGGACAAGGAACACACGTTTCCAAAAAGACAGCTATGGTGCTATATCAAAGATATATGGATTTTTTTCAAACAAATTGTTGTTGTTGTACCTTTTGCTGAGAATTTTCACTGAAGCAGTTGGACAACAGTTGTTGCCATAATGCCAGACTCATAGTTGTCCAAACAACATCTTATTATCAAAAGAACTTTTTGAGCAGCAGCTTACTGCACCATGGCTAACCATGTTTGTAGTAGAGGCAGACGTCTTTGGAAACTTGTCGGAGATAGCCATTGGCTGATTTCAAAAAGAAATCTACAGCTATATATAAGTGCTTCTTACTAATACTTTTCATGAGGCAGCAACTACCAACACTTCAAATACTAGATTTACTACTAGTACGACTACTGCTACTGCTGCTGCTGCTGCTGCTACTACTACTACTACTACTACTAC